GAAACAGGGTCTCACTGTTCAATTCAGGCTGGCCTTGAGCTCACTTTGTAGCCCAGGCTGGTCTCAAACTGGCAGGGATCCTCCTGGCTCAGCCTCCCTAGAGTGCTGGGGATCACAGGTGTGTGCCACCATGCCCGGCTACATTTTTTGCATTTTTATCTTTTCCCAACTGGGCAGCAGCAGTGAGCCACAGGCCCCCAGTCAGTCACAAGACGGAAAAGAAACAGCAAAGACTGCAGCACATCATGCTGCCAAGCTATGATTTTCAGTGGGTTAGTCCTATTAAGGCAACTTAGGATGCTTTCAGTTAAGGGTCTACAGGGTGTTCAGGGCCTCACGACTAGATCCACCTGTTTACAGCCTCCCAAGAGCTGGGATTACAGGGTGCACCACCATGCCCAGTCTCAATTGCTGTCTCAGCACGCCCCGGGGTCAGGCCCAGGATCAAACACCCAGCCCTGTGCCTGCTTGCAGGCGCTTTAATCTGCTGAGCTATTTGGCCAGCCTCTCTGTGTGGTGTTTTTGAGACAGGGTCTCACCACATATTTCAGGCTGGCCTTGAGCCCACTGTGTAGCTCTGGCTAGCCTGAAACTTAACAGTGATCCTCCTCCTTCAGCCTCCCTTCTGGCTTAAATTCAGGATTTTAAACCACCACTATAAATGAGATAGCAATATTTACTAATATCAACTAATGTAAATTTGAAAAGATAAATGAAATTCTAAAGGCTTCTAGAAGTGGCACAGAAGCTGTAGGAAAAAATTCAAACAGTTAACTTTGACTAGCTCTAGAACATCCTGCTTAGCTTTTTTCTGTTTCTCTACTTTGCTACCATGAGAACTTGGCTGATTTACTTAATTTTCCACATTTTTGTTTCCCTACCCATAAAAAATAAAGGTAAGTGCCAATCTCATAGTATTGTCCAGAGGATTAAACAGATTTAAGCCACAAAAAAACATTTACTAAGCACATTATAAGGACATGCAAAACCATAGTTATTTTTGACTTTTTTTTTTTTTT